TGGGGGGGGGGGGGGGGGGGGGCCCAGCCTCTCTGGAGACAGCTGGTGGCAGGGGGACGTCCCCACGTGGGTGCCAGATGCATCAGAAGCACCTCATTGGGGTGGGTGCCTCAAAAGGTGGTCCCAAAGCCAGACTGGAGAAACCTATGGACCCAGGCAAGGTGCCCTTGCCGTGGCATCTGCACCCATGGGGACCCACTGCCACCCAGGGAAGCAGCAGCCTGGGGGGACATGACACAGGGTGATGCCAGCCCAGGGTTTGACACAAGACCAAGTGTGACACTGGCTGGGGATGATGGCAGTCCAGGGGTGACACTGGCCAGGGTGACGCCAGCGTGGTGTGACCTCAGTCCAGGGATGACACTTTCCCAGGGGTGATGCCACACTAGGGGTGATACTGGCTGGAGGTGATGCCAGCCCAGGGGTGACCCCCTCCTGGGGTCTGTCCCCCTCCAGCCCCAGTCCCTGCCCTCCACTCTGGGGCATGTCCCCCCTGCTGTGCTGTCACCTCCCAGGGGACACGTGGTGCCAGACCCTGGTCCCATGTCCCAGGGGGCTCCTGTCCCCAACCCCCCCATTTTATACTCCAAATAAAGAGGCTTTTGCAGCTGGTTTCTGTGCTCCGTGACTCGGGGTCCCCTCCTTGGGGCAGGGGACAGAGGGGGACACACAGCAGTTAAATATTAATAATATGAGAGAAATGAGATAAAGAGATGATATGAGATAAATGATGATAAAATGAGATAAAAATATGGGAAAAATGAGATAAAAAGAAATAATAATCAAATAAAGAGAAAATTATCTGAATATAAGTGCACTAAATAGAAATCATCTGAGTTAAATAATCAGAATGTAAATAAGCTTAATGGAAAGAATGTGAATATAACTAAAATTAACAAGAATAATCTGAATACAAACAATCTGAGTAGAAGTAATTTGAAAATAAATAATCTGAATTAATAGGAATATAAAGAAGATTAATAGAAATAACCAGAACTAATCTGAATACAAATAGATTGAAAAAAACCCACACCCATCTGAACACAAAAAAAAGCTAAATATAAGTAATCTGCCTGGAATCTTAATAAAATTAAAATGATAATTAAAATACTCTGAAAAGAAATAAATCTAAAATATCTGAATACAAAAAAATCTTGAGTAGAAGCACTTGAAAATAAATAATCTGAATTAACTTAATTAAATCATCTGAAGATAAATAAGATTAAGAGATGAATCTGAATTAATCTGAATAGAAATAAATGGAAATTTAGCTGAATATAAATAAGACAAATATAGATAAATAAATATAATCTGATTAGAAAGAATCTAAATAAGAATATAAATTTACATTCTAAATCAGAATGTAAATAAAAGAAAGAATCTGGAGGAAAATAAATGCAAAGAATCTGAATAGAACTATAAGGAATGAAATAATCTGAGCAGAAATTATCTGACCAGCCAAAAACCTGAACGGAAGATTCTGAATGAAACAATCTGAGGAGAAGTGACCTGAAAAGCCCTGATCTGAATTAGAAAATCCGAACTCAACGCTGTGAAGAGCAGAGGGGGGAGGCAGAGCAGGGGGACCCCCCCCCCAAAACGCCTTCACTGCAACCAGGGCCTCCTCCAGAATTACACTTTTATTTCACGTTTCGGCCCCGTTTCCCCAGCGCGGCGCCCGGGACGTTTCGCCTCTCACACAGACTCGGGTTTAATTTACACGCAGCAGAATTATAAATTACTTTAAAAAAACAAAACCAAAACCAAAGCACAACTCCATTAAAAATTAATAATAATAATAATCATTACCAGCCCCAGCCCCTGCTCCTTGCCAGTAGTAAATACATTCACGCCGCTCTGAAAAACCCCCTTTTTTGCCCCAAATTCAGCCTTTAGCCGAGGGAAGGAGCAGTGGGAGATGCCAGGGACCCCAAAATACCCCAATTCCCCTCAAGTTCACCCCCCAATTCCAGGGGATCCAGCACTGCCTGTCACAGATACAGATATATATGTCTATATTTCTTTAATATATATATTTTCTTTATCTATGTACACACATACATATTCTATATATAAAGAAACAGATTTTCTATATATATTCTGTACATACTTTATACATTTATATATATAAAGAAATATATTTAAAATATATAAACATATTCTTTAGATATGGTATATATTCCTCTTATATATTTCTTTATATATACAGAAATATACTCTCTATATAAATAAATACATATGAAGCACTATATATTTCTTTATACATATGAAGTAAAATATATATAAAGAAATACATGTCATTTACCTATAAGCTTATATTTCTTTTATATCTATTTCTTTATAGAGAAATATATAA